TAGAGAAATCAGATCTATAAAGAAATAGAAAAAATATATATAACAATATTTATGACATAATAAAAAATCAATCGTTACTCTCATCTCATACTTTGTCTTTTCACATCTCACAATTTCATTGGTCATTTGTTACAAAGAAAATAATTCTAAAAATATCAATTCGAAAAATTACATAAATGTCGGGATTGAATCAAGAATAATGTTGAACAAAAGTTATTCTAGAGAAAGAAGATACAAATAAGAGTTTGAATGAAATCAATTATCACAAACAAGTTGTTTACAGAAGTAACTATTATTTTAAACAGTATTTTCTTTAACAAAGAAATAATGTAATATAGAAGTAACTTCTTAAAAATACTTCAAATATCTAAATATTTAATTTGAAGTTATAATCAGGAATTACTTTGCTTCAAAAAAGATTATTCTATTGAATTTCTTTTAACATAACATCATAAACTAACAAAAAAAAATAATATATGTATCATAAATAAAAATAAATAATAGATAATTATAATTAATTTTGTTTATATCTTTATTATAAAATTAAATTTTTTATAATTATATTATTTTAGACTCGGTTATCTAAGATCATAAAAGAATGTCAATGATTATCCCATTTTATAACACAATGTATAAAAAAAATGTAATAACTTTAAAACATGATCACCAAATAAGAGATTTGTTTTATTTTTCACTTTATAGCGACATTTGTTTTTTAATGACTTTGGTATGACAGGTCAACCAAAATGTTAGTTTCATTTTTGTCTATCAACTCATCCATTATATGCATGCCATATTAAGAAAAAGTTAAACCATTTAAAAATCACAACGAATACAGATAAAGAATAATAAAGAGAAAAATAAAATAAAAGATATACTCTTTATTTTCCTAAATAGTTCTTATTAAAATTTAAGATAATTAACCTTGTTACATTATATATATGTATTGCAAATTGTAGGATTACTAAAGCTTAAGAATATGTTAACTTCAGGGAGGTGATGTGGAGATTTTTTATTATCATCTGCACTTTGGTTCAAGAAAATATGTTTAATTCTACTTTTTCTTGTATTCTAAAGTTTATATATAAAAAATAACATATAGAAATATAAAATAATGAAGATACTTATTATAAATTTTAATAAATATTTTTTATTAAACTAAATAATTCACTTTGTAAATTCATTTGCAACATGTATATTACTAGTAACAGTAGAGATGAGAGGTAAAGTATTGAAAATAAGAACAGAGGTACAGTGTGCTAAAATTTTCTCCTTTTTACATGAAGGAGTAAGAGAGAATTAAGACACAAGTAAAAAATAGAAGGATATCTCATCAAATTAAGCATATAATAATATACAGTGTACAAAAAAGAAAAAAAAAAACTTGATAAAGTGTGAATAGATTAGGTGAGTGGAATTATAAATTACTCAATCAAAACCTAAACCAATAATCAGTAGTCAAATTCTATTAGATTTTATTGGAAGGAAACTTTGTCACGAAGTAACCTAAATATATCTAATCAAATAATTACTGGAATTGAATAAACTAATAATCAATACCTAATGACTAAAATAATAATACTTAATAGGAGAAATATATCAGGTGGCGCCACTGAATGACATTGGTAGCTTTTGCTCTCATATAAAAATTCAAAGAACTAAGCTATGTCTATATATGACACTTATATTAATTAATTATACACAAAATATTTTAATAACAAATACTATACCTTATTTATTAAACTTCTCATCTTAAATTTTTACTTATAATTAAAAGAAATATACAATAACATACATATATACATTCACGAACAAATATAATGAAGATAAAATTAAAATGTATAAAAATAGAAAATTCATTTTGTTTTAACTAGTGTTCAAGCATTTTATATATTATTGTTCTCCTCAGTTTTACACAAATCAATGATAATATTCCACAGCTTCTTATATTTTTATTAATTATGAGATGAAATATTTTAATTCAAATACTTAAAATTTACATATAAACTAAACTTGAATCACTCAAATGTATAGAAATAAAAATAAAAATATACATTATTAAACATATAGATTAAAAGACGATAGTCATGTAAGTGCAGAACAAGTTGGTCCATTGAATTGAAATAGCAAAGGGTCCATGTGAAACTCTAGGGTTTTCTGTATGGTCAAAAGGAAGGACCCACTAAAAGTAAGAAAAAGTGTTCAACATCACTGCACAAAACATGAACACCTGCTGCATCTTCTATGATTAACTTGATTGTCTCACGCGTACGTAGACATACACCTACGCTCTTTTGCCTTTTCTCCTCAATTTGATGCCTAAATTTGGCTTTGAAGCACCATACAAAAAGCTACATGTTCATAACAAACTATTTTCTCAACTTAATCAAGAACAACCAACAAGAATAAGAAATAAATCTTTCAGAACAACTTTATTTCTCCTTTTCTCTACACATTATTTATTACTCAGGAGGGAAAGTACCCTTTTAATGTTATTAATTACAATGTGCATTTTGAGTTTAATTATTTCAATATAAATAAACAGTATATTAGTTTTTAATTCAAATTTAATTAACATCATGCATCTTTGTTTCATAGTGTCTAAGAAATTATTATGAACAACAACTAATTTATAATAGTGAAATATAACTTTACAATCAAATATCTTTGATTTGTGTTACATATTAAAATATACACAGTAAAATAGTGAAAATATTATTAACATAGGAAATGTCAAGATATATATATATATATATATTGAATTTGTAAATTATAAACAATATATAATATAATTCTTACTTATTATATTTTCAATAGATTAAACATTCTTTTATATACGTACAAAAATGTACAATTTATACTAATTATTTTAATACAATCATTATATAATAATAATAATAAATAAATAAAGTGACGTCTTATTTGAAGCATATACATGTATTAGAAAACAAACTTTTCCCCTGAAACCATGCCATTTAATTTAAAGTATTATCGTAAAACAAATTAGCAAGATACAAAATTTATATATAAATTGACTGGAAAAGAGGAACAGAGATATATTCTGATTAATTATGACTGTTATAGTCTATGGTCTTGATTTTGATTATAAAAAAGATGAACAAATATGTTATAGTCTTAGAAAAAAAAATAATTTTAAAGAGATAATAACCTTTTAAATAACCATCTTAATAATATATTTTATTATTTACAAAATTCGTATTTTAATACTAAATTATTCAAATTTATTTTTCTACTCTATCTATTATTTATATCATTATAGAACAATAGAAATAGTAATTAAAATTATAATAATATAGATAACACTAAAAATAAATAATAATATTAATAATACTTTTTTTTCATATTTTATATATGATACAATTTTTTTAGTCACTAACACTACTAAATAAGAAAAAAAATTATAATATTCATTTCAATTTTTCTTTTGAATTTATAATTTTCAAATAATCTCTTCTCCTGTCCCATCTTAATATTAATTTTAGAAATTAAACATGGCCGCAGACTACTATTCCCACAACTAATTATAAAATTGTCAATCAAAATACTTATTCTTCTTTTTTATTCTACTTGTACACATGATCTTCTTAATCAATGTCCATCCTTTGTTTGAATACATTTTATGATAAATTATTAAACAAATAAAAAATAGCTTCAGACATATTTTAAATTGTATTATAAATATAATTGATATATCTAAAAATATGCATTCATTATAATTTTAATGAAAATAAAGTTTCCCAACTAAAATATCAATTGTAATTTTTAATTATATAAAAGATATTTACATGTATAATTCACCGTTTTCAATTTGTTAACATTATATTGATCTGATTATGAAAGAAAATTATTATAACAAAGTTTAATAATTTGAGTCTTATAAATAAATAAAGAACATATCCAAAGAAAAGAAGTACAGATTATCTAATAAAAATTAAATACAAATATTTCATCTTTTTAAAATGTTTTAAGAAAGAAACATTTATAGAAGACACTTAAAAGATGAACATAACAGTATAAAATAGGCAGTTTTAGCACATCGCTGCAGTCTGTAAGATTGAAAGAGCAAAAGAAGAAGGATAAGGTTGTAAAATTTGTGAATGAATGATATTATAATGAGATTGATTAACATTTATTTACTAAAGAAAGTCTTTCATGTTGAATGATAATATTTATGCAGGATGAGTACCGTTGTGTCAGAGTGATTGTTATGAGTGAGAAAGAGAAAATCAACAGAAACGAAGAAGACAGGCAATTCGTTGTTGGGTTTATGTAACTCTGTACCTCTTGCCCTTGAATGCATCCAAACCGAACTCTGCCCTACTGCACTGCACCTCTTATGAAAAATATCAATCTCTCTCTCTCTCTCTCAATGTAGTTCAGTAACTAAAAATTACATATGATTTTCTTTATGATTTAATAACATTGTGAAGTAGTAATTCTATGAGGAATCTTTATTGACAGTACCGGTACCAATTAAGTGCTGCAAAACAAAACATTGGTTTGTGGGTGCGGTGACTAAATAATAAATAATAATAAATAAATAAATAAACAGTATTTTAGCAATAAATAAATTCACTCCTGACACAGGAATTTGGGGGTTATCACAATATAGTGATGCTGATGATGAATGGTGCCCCACCCAACCCTTATCACAAGAGTCTATATAAAATCACTGTTCTTCGTTCATGCTGGCTAGCTGGGTCCATCCCTCAATATGCCAACTTCAGTGTGCACCCCACCACGCAAACATTCATGATTTCCCTCACATTGAAACCAGGGACAGTGTCAAATACTATAATGTCCAAAAGCAACACAAACCATTCTTTAATGGACATGATGTTACTGTGCGTGCCAGAACAAATTATAAAGAATAATAACACCAAAAGAAGATTGATTGTGGAGAAAAATTAACTCTTTTGACGGAGAAAGGACTGAGAGAGGCATTTTAGTTTAACCATTCTCTTCCTTCCTTTTCTTTTTCTTCTGATATTTATTTCTGTTTGCAACATATAAACACACATAAACATCTCACATGGCGGAAGTCTATCATCACCATATCCTCAGTTACATGATGATATCATAGTTCTCACTATCATAAAATATTATAAAATCTATAAATTACTCCCTTATGTGACCAAAAGCTCAAGTTTAACTTGGAGAAAAGGGATAAGAAGAAAATTGAAGAAACACCAAACTAAAATTGAAACTCATTTCCATTGTATAATATTGCATCATCATATTAGAAAGGACTTTCCATCCATATCCGAACAACCCTCTTATCAGCATCACCACCCATTACTCTTCACATAACACTGCAGCTGGAAGTATTCTCATCACTGAAAAAGTTGGAGTATGGCTCGTGAGGAGGAGGAGGTGGGTAGCTATAAGGAGGAGGGTACATGTAATTCACTGCCATAGGAGGCCTGGCATACATCATTGGCTGAAATCTATCATTTCCCATTGCCCTTTGTTGGTTCATCATTGCAGCCATGTATTGCTGTTGTTGGTAAGGATTGCCAGCCATCATATCTGGACCACCCCCGCCACCGCCACCTTGGAAGTATCCTCCACCACCACCACCGGCAGTTCCGTTCATGGGTGCTGCAGCTGGAAGGCCTTGAACTGCTGGGATGTTACCCATCTGGGACATTGGCATGTTGCCCATGGGAATGCTCATGTTACCCATAGGACCCACATTAGCCCCAACCATACTAGGAGTATGACCACCCATGTTTGGAAACATGTTCATAGCTTGAATCCCTTCACCCATTCCATTATTACCCTTCTTACCTCCATTCCCATTGCTATTTGGAGGAACACCACCGCCGCCACCATTATTTTTGTTGTTTTTAACGTCTGGCATTCCACCTCCATTTTTGCCACCATTGTTTTTGTTACCTCCACCTTGATTATGATTATTGCCACCTCCACCTCCACCTCCTTTCTTACCTCCATTACCAATTTTCCCATCTCCACCACCCATGTTATGCACTTGCACAGGTCCTCCTCCACCTCCACCTCCACCGTCACCTCCTCCTTTCTTCCCATTACCTCCACCACCGTTGCCACCTTTCTGAGCATTCATCATGTTATTCAACATCATCTGAGCCCCATTAGACATAGGGGCATTACCCATAGGGGGCTTACCCATAGGGGGCTTCATCATCATCATCTTATTCAGAGGATGCTGAGGGTCATCCATCTCATCTTCATACAACTCATCGTCCAACTCATCATCAAACTCGTCATCAAATTCATCATCAGACAAATCATCTTCCTCAGGCAAACTGAACTTCACTCCTTTGACCTGGTTGGGGTTCTGGTTGGGCATCTTCATGTCCTTGAACTGAGGCAGCTTCAGATCTTGAAACTCTTTCATCTGCTGAAGTTGTTGCAGATGCTGCTGAAGCTGCTGTTGATGGTTCTGCTGTTGGGGGTTCTGCCCTTGTTGATTATTACCCTTTGGCTGGTTATTCCCACCACCCTTTTGACCCTTGTTGTTTCCCCCACCTTTACCATTGTCAATTTGCATGTTCTTCATCTGGTTAGCAATGTTGTTCTGGTGGTTGTTGCTATTATTGTTGTTTCCTTTGGCAGGGGCACTCCAGAGTTCTGCATGTTTCCCTGACTTTGCAAGCTTCTTGATGAGAACATTGGGGTCCACAAACCCTGAAACCGTCACCTTCCCTTGTTCTGCATCTATCTCGGTGGTAAACACCCCTGTGAAATAGACTCAATAAATAACCAAGCACACTATCTATTCAAGATATGGATACTGATAAGAGATTTTGATTTTTTCTTCCAAGATACAGAATAAAAATAAAACCTTCAAGAATGAAACATAAATTGGTCCTTTTCTTCTCTTTCCTTTTCTAAGAGAGTGAAATAGATGCATACATACCATCAATCTTCTGCAAGATTTTCTTGACTTTGCTCTTGCACCCGTCACAGTGTATGTTCACTCTAAGAACACATTTCTGCATGTTCAAGCAATCCAAGAACCAACACAGAATAAAGAGAAATTTGGTTGTAAATAAGAGGAATTATTAGAATGAAGAAGTAAAAGCAAAAGAAAACCAGACACTTCATACAGAAAAAAATGACTCTCTCAACAGAAAAAGAAAAGCAAACACAGCACAGCAACTAAAAAGCTTGAAAATAAGCAGACAAAAATGAGAAAGGTGAGGACTTGATTGTTGAAAGAGATGAAGGAACGCACCTGTATCTTCAAAATCTCCTCTTTACTCATGTCTTACCAGGCAATGGACAAAAAGGATTGTGATTTGTAAGAGATAGGAGAAATGCAGAAAAGGGTGGTAATAGATCTGAGAAACCGAGTCAGGATAAAAACAGACAATATAGAGAGGCTCATCCAATCTTAGACTTATCCTCTAAAGCTTTTGGAACCAAACACACACCCTTCCCTTTTCTCTGAGATAAACAAAATCTCAGCAACGTTATGCTTTAACATCGTTAAATAGCATTGCTTCTGTCTGTTTCTCCCAAGGACGTGTGGAAGAAAGAAGAAGCTTTCTTAGTGTTTTCTTTTTAATCTTTCTTTTATTCTTCAATATTAATGCAGTATTATTATTCTTCACATGCAATTGATTATTATAACCTATGAAATGGATTTGAGGTATACCTCTTAAATTTAAATTCTAATATATAAATATTTAACAGCATTTAATATTACTTTTAAAAACTAATTAAAATTTTGCCAGTTCTTAAGATGACTAAATTAATAACAACTCATAAACCTTCTAATTTAATCTTTAAATAAATAAAAGACAATTGGATAATATTAAATGGACTCTTAAATTTAAATTTTAATGATTAAATAGTTAATAGCATTAAATATTAGACCAAAAACTAATTAAGATTTTGCTGTTTTTCTAAAGAACTAAGTTAATAACAGGTCAGGAAGTGATTGATTATTTTTACCCGTTAGAATGTGTTGATGTGATGTGTGGATGTAATTCTTTGGAAGTGAGGTAAGTATTTAATGGAAGGGTTAAACATAAAATAGTTATGAAATGCTATTAATTAATTATTTATTTATTTTAATCTTTCGATGATAAGTTAGAAGAGATGGAAGGAAGTAGGTCAGAATTTATCTTGAAATATTTAAGTGTCATTTATTATAGAGAAGGGCTAAGTTGTCAATTTCCTTTTCAGAACTGGCTTATGGTACATTTGCATCAGTACAGTACCTCTCAAGTGGACTTACACTAAAAAATGGCACTCCTGATTCACACGTTCATCATCACACTCACCAATAAATTTTTTCAGATTCCACCGATCTAAAAACTAGGACTAAAAACAACGTATTCTATTATATGATGTCTATTTCTCCTTTGCCTCAAGTAATGATATATCCAAATTCATCTCTATAATTAAGCCAAATCTCATTGTAAGATTAAGATACATTTAGTATTCAAGCATTGAGTAATACCCATCAGATTATAAATTATAACCTTATATAAAAAAAAATCCAAACTGTAACTTCTTCAATGCAAAAGCAATATACATACAGACATTGATGATCTCTAATGTGCATAATAAATCTTCCTCAGTCAAATATCAAATTTGTTTATAGAAACAATTATAAATAAGTGTGAGCTATTAATAAAGGCATTAAGTGCATTATTAGGTGTAACTTATGTTTGGAAATGTAGGAAACATCCTCTTTCTCAGAGGATGAAAGTAAGCTGCTGTACTAATGTAATTTATATGAATTATTATACCACCTTTAATCAAACACTGGAATACTTTTTTCTCCATTGATTAATGAGTGGATAACAAATATCAGAGAGAAGTTAAAAAATTCTAAATCTTAGAATTTTTTTTATAAAAATAGCGTGTTTTAAAATAACAATATTTATAAAATTATTTATATTAAAATATTTTAATATTAAATAGTTATTTTTAAATAGTATCACTATTAAAATATCATTTTTTTTCTTTATAAATAATATGAAAATAATGAAACTTTAAATTAAATGAGTAAATATTTAAGAATAACTTTGTAATTTAAATTAAAAATAATGGTGAAATACTTGTAATCATTTATTGATTTGTCAAACCCTTTAAAATTTATAAAAAAAATTAACATACTAATATGAATTAATATAAAAACAAAGTATTTCATTATTCCATGTATTTTGCAATTGTTATAAATTATAACTATTTTTGATAAGTTCTTCGTGAAACTCTTTTTAAAACATTTTTAACTATGTATAAAATAATAATTCTTTAATAATTTTATTATCATAAAAATAAAAAATGACTTTGGATACAATGTAATATAAAAAAAAATATACAATATCTATTATTCCGAACCCTTTAAAAGTTATAAAAAAAATGAACATTTTAGGATGAATTAATATAAAAACAAAGTTTTTCATTATTCTATGTATTGCAATTGTTATAGATTATAACTATTTTTTACAAGTTATTCATGAAACTCTTTTCAAAACCTTTTTTAAGTGTGTATAAAATAATAATCCTCTCATAATCTCATTACCATAAAGAAATGGCTTTATATACAATATAAATTAGAAATAATGATAAAATATTTATAATTATTTATTGATTTGTGAAACCCTTTAAAATTTATAAAAAAAAAAAGTGAACATACTAATATGAATTAACATAGAAACAAAGTGTTGCATTATTTTATGTATTGTATTGCAATTGTTTTAGATTATAACTATTTTTTACAAGTTATTCGTGAAATTCTTTTTATAACCTTTTTAACTATATATAAAATAATAATCCTCTAATAATCTCATTATCTTCTATGTAAATTAAAAATATTGATGAAATATTTATAATAATTCATTGATTTGTCGAACCCTTTAAAATTTATAAAAAAAATAACATATTAGTACGAATTAATATAGAAACAAATTGTTTTATTATTCTATATATTACAATAAATATGTTTTACAAGTGAAAGTCTTTTTAAAACCTTTTTAACTATATATAAAATAATAATCCTCTGATAATCTCATTACCATAAAAAAAATCACAAATTGTTCAATAAGATTGATTTATTTTTTATCATTACAAAATTAGCATTTTAATTTATAATATTATTACTAATACTACTGTTATTATACTCATTCTTTTAAGTCATTAAACTCATTTTTTTTCTTGGTTATGACCAATTTTTATGATAAAAAATTATAATCTAACTAGTCAAAGTCAATTATAAGTATATCCGTTATTAAATAGGTTTATCATAACAATGAAAATAAAAATAAAATAATTAAGAGAATAAAAATGTTAATTATAAATTTTATTTATTTTAATTTTCAATATAAAATGACAAGTACTTTTTACCTAAAGTATTAAGAGTTTGAATACATAATGTCATTTTGGACATAAAATGATAAAATGATAAAATTGTACAACGTGTTAGGCTAAAATTGAATAAAGGACCAAAATGCAATTAAATCCACTTGTTATCTAACGAAATAAGATAAACAGTTAATTTACTATAATATAACATGATACATCATACTAAAGTTGAAAGATAGAATACACCATTTTACATATTAACAACATTATCTATCATATCATAGTATTAAAAACTGGATAAGACTATGTCTTAGATATGTGTTTTTCTTGTATTTGCACATTTTCCACGGCAAGACAAAGTTGGTTTATGTCTTCTTTACCAAATTAATGCATGTGAAAAGATAAACTTACTTTTAAATTAAAAAAAAAAAAACTACGTTCAAACGCATTGTAACTCTTTGAAATGTGACATCATGGAAATAGTTTTATCTAATCTTAGAAAAACTTATTTGAATTAAAAATGAGTGAATTACTTATAATGAGTAATGTGTTAATAATTAATTGGAGTAACTTATAAGCTATTTTTACTAGTTCCTATAAACTAGATGAAAGTAAAACTCCAGTGCTTTAATAATATATTAAAGTTTTATACCTTTTTCTACTAAAGGGGATCTTCCTTCTCAATGTTATTTACCATTAAAATCTGTCTTAATTTAAATCTGGATAAACCCCTGTACAATTAATAGGCTTTAGATATGAAGTTTAACTTATTCACAAGAATTAGTTCAAAAGAAGAATATCATCCTTTTGTAAGTAGTATTCTAGACATTTGTGTATTCAATGTTTAACATTTGGGAGAGAAGTTAATTACATCTGATAGATGGGTCATTATTTGTTAAAATAAAGTTTAAAATCTGTTTCCTGGGGAATTCAGTTGGAGTGGCAGAAGTTTGGGGTCTTCTTGTTTTAAGTGTTTGGTGCCAAACTTGTGTGAAATGAAAACTGAGTGGTCTTTGGTGCATTTGAATGTGCCTTAAAAAGGAAAGTATTCATATATGTCGTGTTTGAAACCAATAGTAGAACTCTTCTGATTAAATAATGCATACCTTACTTTAACAGCAATTAAGTGAAAAGAAGAAAAAGCAAGCAGAGAACTGGGAATGGATAATTTTCACATGATCATGTCATACCAAAATGTGTCTATTTCTCCTAAAATGTACACAGATTTTAACATGGACTCATCTATTTATTTCTATGAACAAAACCAGAAACACAAATTTCAATTCACGTATAATCATGAGAAATTCAACACAAGTTCCTCCTCTAACAGATAATTTATCGAAAGTTGTTAGTACAAGTGGTTGATATATATATATATATATATACTTGAGCTCCTTAACCATGATCAGGGTTTTACTTTTTACTTGGACATAACTAGAGTGGTAACTATAGTACTCTAAAAATGGGCTATAAAAAACTCCTAATCATACCAAAACAAACCAGAGAACCCTTTGGATACCGATACACCACGTTCAACCAGGTTTCTTGTTTTTTTCTTCCATTTCTGCACTTCATTTATTTTTCCAGGCAAAATTATTCTTGCTGTTTGCCCTTCTTCAAAGCCTAAAAATGTGATCACCCTTACGATCATGTTCCTGTGATTTTAACCGTTATTTCTTTTGACATGTCACTTTACTGCCAAAGAGCATTCGGAAGGATCACAAGAAACAATAACCAAGTACATGTTTCGATAAAAGCTTGCACACGTTAGTTTGGGTTAAACTTAGATTTGAAAACCGAGTTCTCAGAAACAACTTAAAAGCCGTCTGCTTTTTTGACAGTCGAGTCTTCTTATAAAACTGATTCCAGACAAAATTTAAATGTCAAAGGCATCATTATTTTAGAGTAACCAAGCAAGTTATGAAACTGAATTTACCTTAATTTGTAGATAAAAGAAATGGCAAGGCTTGTTGTGTGTGATGGGAAGTGGTGAAATAGGAGGAAAGATAGAAATAGTAATAATAACAAGAATTATAATGATAAAAACGAAGGGTGGTTCTGTGATGGTGACAGGCAATGAGAGGTATGATAGCATGGACTTAAGTGGAACGAGAGGTGAGTAAATGTTGTTTTTAGATGAATAGGTGGATCCATATTTAGGAGTATGATTTTACAGATTTTGTCTCTAAGGTTGGATTGGG